CCAAGTTGCTGCAAAAGACATGTGTTTCTCTTTTTTGGTTGCTGAGTAATATTCCATTGTATATATGTACCACATCTTTTTTATCCATTCATCTACCTTTGGGCTGTTTCCATGTCTTTCCAATTGTAAATAAAGCAGCAGCAGTCATGGGGGGTGCAGGTACCTTTTTGAATCAGTGTTTTTGTGTCTTTTGGGTAGATACCTAGGAGTGGGATTGCTGGGTCATATGGAAGCTCCATGTTTAGCAGTTTGAAGAACATGCAGTTTTCCATAGCGGTTGTACTCATTTGCATTCCCACCAGCAGTGCAGGAGAGTTCCTTTTTCTCCACATCCTTGCCAATATTTGTTTTTGTTAGTTGTTTTATGATGTACCATTCTCACTGGTGTGAGGTGGTATCTCATTGTGGTTTTAATTTGCATCTCCTTTATTACAAGTGATGTTGAACATTTTTTCATGTGCTTGTTGGCCATCTGCATTTCCTCTTTGGAGAAGTGTCTTCTTAGCTCTTCTGCCCATTTTTTGATGGGGTTGTTTATTTTTGTTGAGTTTCATCAGTTCTTTGTATATCTTTGTGATGAATCCTTTATTGCTGGTTTTGTGTGAGAAAATTTTTTTCCCAATCCGTGGGCTGTCTGTCTTTTTTTTATAATGTCTCTTTTGCTGTACAGAAGCTCTTTAACTTGATGTAGTCCCATCTGTTTATCCTTGCCTTCACTATCGTTGCATTGAGTGCTCTATCTGTAAAGATGGTGCTGATGTGTATGTTGTTCAGTGTTTGGCCCATCTTTGCTTCCAGGTATTTTATGGTTTCTGTTCTTATATCTAGGTTTTTAATCCACTCCCATGAAGGCTATTTTTATAAGATATTGAATTGTAGGTCAGGATGCGTTACTTTAGGCCCTGGAAAGTTGACATTTTTTTAACTGGTTTCTGTCATTTCAGTCAACCCAATTTTATGAAGGTATTGTTTCTTTTGACTGTCTTTTATAGTTTCTAATTAAGCATATTTAAAGTCTGGGCATTACTTGATCTTCTCACTATTCTTTGCTTTCTTAGTGTGCCTTAATCTGGTTTTTTACTCCTCTTTATGTTTATCTTTATTACCAGATAAGATTATTACTTCTAAATCTTTTTCTCTGTGACCTTTTTGAATCATTGTTTTCTTTTCCATTTTCATAATACTTTTCTATTTTCTGCTTACTAGTTTCTTTAACTTTTTCAAAAAATTTTTTTTTTTCATACTCTTAACCTTGGGAAATTAGTATTTCTAAAGGGTATATCTGTTGATTTGTGTTGTGGGGTTTTTACAGGTTATCATAAAAGATTACCTTCAGTTGTCTCTGAAGTAACCAGAAGCTTAACATTCTAGTTGTGAATTTTCCTTCCAAATGGGTCTTGGTTTTATGTCTAAGAGAATGATTTTCATTAATTTAACTTCCTCCTGCTTATTTTTTGCCTGTTGTTTTAAAAAAAGTCTCTGTTTCTTCATGAACTCACATTTTATATATTGTATTGAGTTTATATCTCTTGTAACTTACCACTTCAATATGAAAACCCAAACTCGATATCTCAACAGCTTTGTCAATCTTACTCCATTCATATACTTTATTTTCTATTTAGTGTTTACCTCCACTCATCAAAACTTGTGTCTTTTTCATTTTTCTTTTCTGTGCATTCACATTGTTCCCAAACCCCAAAGTTATCAGGTCTTTTTCTTTTCTTTTCTTTTCTTTTTTTTTTTTTATAATATAACAGTTTATTTTAACATCATTTCTCCATCTCAGGTGTAATCCCCATGGGCTTCCCATCAACAAATCATCCGTGTGCCATCACTATAGTCCAGTGCACTTCCTCCCCGCACTGTTATTGATCCCATTCCCCACTCTACCCCTGTAAAATGTCTCTGGTATAATAGTTGTTCATTATTATTATTATTTTCTCGCCTATAGGGTTGTTTTAAGATATTTTTTCACATTTCTCAGATTTCAACTCCCTCTTCATTTTTATCACCACCTTTCTGACCATAGCTCATAAATTCATTCTAGCATGGTTTGGAGTGATGAAAGAAGTACTAATTTAAATTAGAAAATACTTAAAACATTATGATAGCTGTATTGTGCAAAGTGCCTCCAAGGTATAACTCTTTGACATAAATGTTCTTAACAGGCAATGAACACAAGGGAAAGTGGCAAAGCTTCCTCCAGTTTAGGTCTTCAGGATTTTGATTTACTCCGGGTAATAGGAAGAGGAAGTTATGCCAAAGTACTATTGGTACGACTGAAAAAAACAGATCGTATTTATGCAATGAAAGTTGTGAAAAAAGAGCTTGTCAATGATGATGAGGTAAGCACCATGATATTTTTATTACTTCAAAGCTGTTAAACTTAGGCTGCAGTGTATTATTACAGAAAAAACCTCAATGTTCCTACCTTATTATTATTATTACATCTACTTTTCTAATTATACACTTAGGATATACATAGCATATACTTAAAGTAATCTGATGATTTTTAAAAAAAATAAGTGTCAAACTATGTAATTATGAGGGGAAAGTACTTGAACTTTATAAAAATTTTTTAGTCCATTTTATAATATTTAGATTTACTGGTTGTGTTTTTCTTTTTGTATATGAACTATTACTTCACAATTAGCAATCTTTTGCTATTTACCCCACTTAGTTAATAATTGTGTTTGTGATACTTGACTTGCTAAGAATAAATTTATCGTTCTTAGCAATTTGTTCTTTGATGGTATTTCATTTTGACTAGATATCTTTTATTTTACAATAGGATATTGATTGGGTACAGACAGAGAAGCATGTTTTTGAGCAAGCTTCCAACCATCCTTTTCTTGTTGGTCTGCATTCTTGTTTTCAGACGGAAAGTAGGTAAGATTAAAAGATAATATAATGATTACTGGACTTTACACATTTTGATATATTGCACATTACAAATCCTATCTATTATATTTCCTGAAATGGAAATTACAGAGACAGACATAGCTCTTCTTTACTTATAATCTCCTGCCACTCATAATCTAATCAGTGATAGCAATTTAATATGGGATCTGCATTAAAGAAATTACTTGCTTTAGGTTAAAAAAAAAAAAACAATAACCAGATCACAACTATGGCATTAGAAATTCAACCTTTTTATTATCCCCAAGATTCTACATTGATGAGTTAGGTGTTCTGTAGTTTAACTAGGGGGAAAATTCTGACTTCTTTACCATTGGTAACATTTGTAAATTACTTACATTGTAAATGCTAAAACTGGGTTGGAAGTGAGTGATTCTGTTTTCACGAAGTGGTAATACTTTAGAAGTAGAGGTTCCAGAATTAACATCATATTAGTTTACTTTCTCTGTTTGTTCCTAAATATCTTTCTACTTTATAGTTTATTATTTGTCAATAATTCTCTTTCTACTTCAGTTACCTTTTGTTTCTATCAAATTCCTACAGTTGTTAAGGGTAAATCCTATGGAATGTTCTCTGTGTTGTGACTTATTCTGGTAGTGTTTAAAATGCAAAATTATACCACCTTACTTTAGATCTTATGTCTCTCCTGTATTTTAGATTGTTCTTTGTTATAGAGTATGTTAATGGAGGAGATCTAATGTTTCATATGCAGCGACAAAGAAAACTTCCTGAAGAACATGCCAGGTAACTTTATTGTTTGTGGTGGGGCATTTTATGTGATTTTGGCTGAAAATACGTAACTCATTTATTTAAATACTAGTTAATTCTTTGTGAGTCATATATAGGCTAAGCTTAAAATTAATTTGTATTATATAACATGTATGTAGCATATGTTGCATATACAATTAGGTATTTGTAAATATTAGAGAAGTCTAAACAATATTAAAGGGGAAACTGTTAGTCTACTAAGTGCAATTCATTTCAAATATTTTGACTAATCAACATCAGCCACTGAATATAATTGTTGAATTTACAGACAGCTGCTAATCTTACCAGGTTTTTAGTGATCTCTATTTGACAGTTTTCTCCAACAGCAAATTATTGTATTTATTTGAAAGTGATAAAATTATTCCATTAAACTGTTACATTATTCCAATTGTTCTTTCTGTAGTTACAATTTTTGACTTATTTTGTCTTTGGCTTTTTTTCCCTTTGATACCATACATCTTAAGAACTAGAATGTTAAATATTAATGTTGTGTCCTTAATTTGATTTTATTATGCAAGATTGTAAATTGTTTCTATGATTTTAGGTGGGGAAGGTTCATGGTCTTAGATAAGTTCAGTCCATGAATCCATGTTTTGTTTTAGATTTTTAAACTCAGCAATAACTCACCCTTTTTTGCTTCACCCTTTAATGATAAAATGAAGTATATGAACTTATATATGCATGTCATTAATAATTGGGTAACAAAGATAAGAGACTTCATTGTTAAAAATAACATTTACAGAAAATAGCTAGCTCATTGATTATTTCTTGTCGAAAAGAGAAATATCCTTCAGTTTCACCAAAAAAAGGTGTAAAATGCCCAGATCTAACCATGGGTCAAGCTTTTTGTTTTTATTACTTTATGTGTATTGTTTACATAAGATTTATCAAATGGTCACCCTTCATAGTCTGCATAGTAAAACCACAGATGACATTTTGAATTATGAACATAACTAGTGTTTGTTTGATTGGACCTGGGAAAGTAGTCTAGTTTTACTGTACTAAAGTGCCTGCACTATGTGTTTTTTTTTTTTTTTTCTGGGAGTGGGAGGGACTAAAGCGTGGGATAAAGGCTTAAGTTCCTTAGTCATAGAATTAAGTAGCTAGAAAGTGTGTGTTTTGTATCTGCAAACTGATAGTGTTAATTAACATTCACCAAAGGCAGCCATAAACTTGTTTGAGTGTTCCATTTCATTATTTGAGTCAGACTTCCTGGTTAATATGAAAGAGTCGATTGGAATTTTTAAAAGTTCTTACTTTACTATTAAATATTAAGGCTATAGGCTAGCTTCTTTTAAAATCTTTGCATGGTTCTTACGGTTTGAGTAGTCAATTTTTAGTTGACTAATATTCTTAAAACTAGTGTTTTCTATTCAAGACCAATCAGCATTTTTTAGGTTTTAGCATTTTCGGAGGTCATTGGTCTCTTAGAAAAATGATAAAAACTATGGAAACACCATAGAAAATATACACATGTGCATACAACTTTTCCTCTAGTTGTAGGTATTAGGAACCAGATTCTTACCATTTGCAATTTTGAAAGAAATACTCTTAATGATAAGTCAGTTTAATTTAGACTGAAGCTTATATAATTGTTTTTGTCTCCATTATTTTGCTTTTTGGTGTTAGTTCCTAGAAGAAAAGATCTTTCTATGTGATTTGATGTTTTTGTTTACAAATGAGAATACCTTTCTCTAGAAATTTACTACAATTAAAAAATTTGAATCAAACAAATTATTCTTTATTTTAGATTTTACTCTGCAGAAATCAGTCTAGCATTAAATTACCTTCATGAACGAGGGATAATTTATAGAGATTTGAAATTGGACAATGTATTGCTGGACTCTGAAGGACACATTAAACTTACTGACTACGGCATGTGTAAGGTGAGGGAAATTTCTAGTTACTCGAAAGCTGTCAGCAGCCTAATAAAATTGTCTTGGTAAGATAACTTTAAAGATGAGGGAATGATTGCTGCTTTGTTTAGGATTCTTTTTGGTATCCAAAAACAATTCCATGTATTTCCTAACCCTTTGTGAAATTCTACATCTTATTTGTTATACGCTATAACAGTTAATTTCTTTTTGTTGTCTCTAACATTTCATCTTGAAAGTTAACACCACTGTTTTGAAATAATAATCCCACTATTTTTTACAACTACTTGATTTTTCAATTTTTGCCATTTAATAGTAACTGAAATAATGCATTCAAGATTGCCCTAAAAAGTCCTAACATTTTTTTATAGTTGAAATTTAAATCTCTGACATAAAGTGCAGTAGGTCAAAATAAGAATTTACTTACTCTTCATGTCTTTTTTATTTCTTTTTTTCCTAGTATAAAACTTTTTTTGCATGTCAGATATAACTATATATGTTTAATAAAACAAGCATTCTCATCTCTTTAATAAGTGTATAAATTGCGATAACCTTTTGAAAAGGAGTTTGTGAGGATGTTTCAAAGATAGTCATATTCTTTGATCCAGTAACTGCACCCATTGAGTTATTCTGATAAATATTTTGTCTGAGGAAAGACTTATAAAATTTTTTGTTATAATTTAAAAATTTAAAGTATAAAGGTTTCAAATTCTATTTTGTTTATGTAATTGGTCACATATTACTGTATTGTATACTATCACTTATTTATTTTTTTGAAATGAATATAATCTCAAGTTTTTATTGTTATAATATACAAAAGATCATACTTAGAACTGGATCACTTTGTCCTCTTAATCTTCCTCCAGTTCAAATGCCTATATGCCTTAATAACCAGCATATTGAATATGGTTTGCATTGGCTTCAGTACATTCAAGTGTTAGCTCAAATCTTTGCAAGCGTTAGACTTTTTCTGGAAAATTGGCTTAATCTGCCCACCATAGCCATTCTGCTTTATGACAGAGAACCTCTCTCATCTGTGTGTCTTTGTGGGGTTGAGGCATGCATGTGTCTGGTGGGTGTTAGGAATGTTCATCATGTTTGCAAGAGTACTGTCAGCATGGAAAGAAAAGCTTTTTCATATTTATAAAAATGACATAGCAGACATGCATACTTAGATAATGAAATTCACAAAAATAAATTAAGGATTTTCCTTTCTTTTATGTTGTCTTTTTTTTTTTTTCCTCAAAGAAAATTTTGCCTGGAAGATATTTTTAGAATAAAGTTACTTAATTTATTAATTTTATTGAAAAATAACATTGATTTGTTATACATTCTCTTTCTAGAGATCCTCAGTCAATTAGTCAGTATCTTTGAAAAATCTTTCAAGGTCTTACTTATTTAGCAGGTCTTAAATTGGTTGTCTGCCTATCTCACTTTGTCTTCCTTTTCTCCAGTGCGTAGTTTGATTAATGGGCAAAGATACTTGACTTAGAACTTCTTTTCAAAGACTTTGCTGTCAGTTCTTTGTCTTTTCTTTCCCTTATACATTTAAAGTCCGTGAGAAGTGAATCCCTTAAAAAAACAAATGTTATTTTATAATGTAGAATCAGCATTTAAAAGCTTATATTATTATGTTATAGGTAAAATTATCTAATGGGTCTGCATCAGATGTTCAGTCAACAAAAGAATTATTTTCTCTGCAAGTTAACAGATTGCATCTCTTGCCATGAGAGAGTGTGCCATGTACCATAAGTCTCCATGTCAAGCCATTGCTGTTAATACAAAACAATTTAAGTCACATTTAATTTTCTTAGAGTATATAAAAATAGCATCTCCCTAGTAGGAATCCAAAAATTTCTTGGCATTACAGCATATTACTAGATATTTCTTGTACAGGTTAACAGCAAAGTTTTTTAATATCATAGAGTGAAATTTGAAGAAAAATGCACTCACCACTGCCCAGAGTATCTCTAGAGGGTCCCGTAAGGGCCTTCTAACAATGTTTGCCTCTAGATATTTGGAACTAGATATGTAGGACTGGGAGGAAGGCTAGATTTTCAGTGGGTATTTCTCCTCTTCCCCTTTGGAATTTTTTACCATATCATCCAAGAAATGGTTAAATATGAGAAATTAAATATGAGTTTAATGTAGTTATTAATAATAAATCTGTAATCACATAAATATTTATTTTAAAAAAGTACTTGTGTGTTCAGTATTGTTCATATTATTTTGGATTATCTTTTTTATTGTTGCTTTGCTATTTAGATTTCCTTGTAACTAGGAAAGATGTAAATGATACTGATTCTTTGAACTAGATTGCGAGTTTCTTTAGGACTTGGCATTTAGTCAGTATCCCACATTTACTTTTAAAAGGATACATAATCTTTGTTTTGATGTAAGGAGTCTCTGAGATTTTCTCCTTCCTACTTTCCCTCCCCACCACAAGTATGCATGTGCATATTCTGGTGTGCATGTATCTGTATCTGTGTCTATATATTATATTTACTTTTAGCCCAAACTTTTGTGTAAATCTTTTTCTGCTTATGTTATTTTTTGTCTGTATGATTGGGGATTGTGTTGTCAAGTCAGGCTGATGTAATAAGATATCATAGGCTAGACAGCTTAGTTAATTGATTTATTTTTGCATATAAGAACTGGGGTGTAGGCCAGAGATGTGGGAGGGGTGATGGTGAGAGGATTCACCAGAGATGGAGTGGGGAGCATGACAGGTAGAGCTACTGAAATACACTGCTGAGGGGAGCAGCAGGCTAGGCAAGAGAGATCAGCTGTGCCATATGTGGGTTAGCACTCAGGCCAGGGATTGAACTCAGTCCATTGCAGTGATAGTGCTGAGACTTAACCTGTGGGTCACCAGAGCGACCCACACTAGGCTATTTAAAGCCAAACATTTATTTCTTAGGGTCAGGAAGCTGGGAAGCCAAAGATCATGATGTTAGTAAACTGGGAGTGATTGCTAGCCATTGCAGCATGAGTTCAGTCCCCTGCCTGAGATCTAATCACCCCACACGATGCAACAACCTCTCCTGTCTCATCCACTGTTTCCCCTCAGCAGTATATTTCAGTAGATCCTCCTTTTCTGCCCACTACTATATCTCTGGTGAACTTTCTCACCCCTGCACCTCTGGCTGACACCCTTGTTCTTGTATGCGTAAATAAATAAAAAGAGATGGTAGTAGACCATTGTTTGGTGAAGTCCCTTTTGTGACTTGCAGATGACTGTCATCATATATCCTCACAAAGGGAGAAAGAGCTTACTTTTTCTAATTATAAGGACACTAATCACATCATGAGGGCACCACCCCCATGATTTGATTTACCTTCCAAAGGCCCCACCTCTCAGTGAGATCATATTAGGACTTCAACATGTGAGTTTAGGGGTCACACAAACATTTACTACATAGCAGGGTTTGTGAATTTCCTTCCATTTTGTCCTTTTTAACTCTGTATTTTGAGACTCTTTTGTTTGGTATATATAAGCTTTGTTACAACTTTTTAGTGATTGCTCACTTTGTTATACTTTGGTTACTCTATTTCTACATATTAGGGTATGTTGCTTTAATAGCCTATATCCTATAACTCTATTAAAATACAAAACCCCCAAATTTGTGCCTTTTAAAATAACACCAGTAAGGAAGCATCATGACATTAGTAATTATCATTATAAGTAAGTGGGATTTAAGGTGCTTTTTTTTCATATAAATAGCTTCTTTTACTCATTTAATATAATTAAATTTTTTATATTCAATTTTTACTTGAATATAATTTTTTAAATGAATTTTAATCTTAACTGACTCACCAAGCATCTACAGATCTTTAAGCTATTTAGTGGCAAGTCATGATTTTAATAATAAAGGTAACTGTACTAGTGATACATTATTTAACCTTAATATATATAGATGCTAAATATATGTGATAGAGGAAATAAAAGAGGTAAGTTTAAGCAGAATTTTGGAAATTAGTTCTTATTTTCTTTTTTTTAATAAAGGAAGGATTACGGCCAGGAGATACAACCAGCACTTTCTGTGGTACTCCCAATTACATTGCTCCAGAAATTTTAAGAGGAGAAGACTATGGTAATTAATTATAGATGGCATACTCTCTGTGTGCTAGAAGGGTGGTTAAATGTGGTACCAGTTACATTATAGCATGTACTAGTTTCATTAATTAAACCTTTCTTGAGCCCCTTAAAATCTACATGAAAACCCTAACCATTGAAATTCAAAGCAGTGGTACCCTGGTGTAATGGTGGGGGGGGGGGTAAATATTTTGTGGTTAGCAAATACTAAAGAATTTCAGACATTATTTTAAGTAGTTAATGTATGTTAACTAAGTTAATCCTCTCAACAGCCTTATAAAGTAAGCACTGTCAATTCCCACTTTAGGGTTGAGGGAAGTATAGAAAGTCTAAATAACTTACCCAATTTCATACAGCAGACAAGTGACAGAGATTTAAATTTCAGCTTTGTAACTCTGGAATCATAAACCTTTGGAAGATATTTCAGATGACCTGGAATATTTCTCCAAAAAGTCTGAAAGATAGTGAAAAGAGTGGTTGCTGATCACTATCCAGAAGATTTACCTTACAAAGGTTCTGGTGTTTTGCATTCAGTAAAGGCGAAGGAACTTCTTACAGTTGCTCATAGTTCAACTCCAATGTCCTTCATGGACTTTTAATCAGCTGGCAGATCAAGCTTCAAACTATGGATGAATATTCCAAATTTAATATAATTCAAAAAAAAATTAGATATAGGGCATGAAATTACAGGCATATTTGGGGGAAAGAAACCTATGTTTCACTTTCTGTATTTTCTTTTTAGTTATCTTTTTGGTTCTCCTCTCACATAACCACCTCCTCTTCCCCCATTGGTAGCAATTCCGTAATCCTCCATGCATGTCTACCATGGTAGTTAAAATGCATTTACATCAATGTTACTTTTTCATTATGTTTATTTTTTCATTGTGTTATGCATAACTCAAATTACTGACTTTCAAGAATGGAGAGTAGATAAATCTGTTGATCTAAAATTTCTTTTCTGAAGGTTTCAGTGTTGACTGGTGGGCTCTTGGAGTACTAATGTTTGAGATGATGGCAGGAAGGTCTCCATTTGATATTGTTGGGAGCTCTGATAATCCTGATCAAAACACAGAGGATTATCTCTTCCAAGGTAATTTGCACTACATTTTAGCAATTTTCTGTGAATAACCCATTCTAGAGCACAAATGAGGCTTTAGGAAAAAGAACCATCTGGACATTACAGTTCTTACTTGAGGCTTTGATTTTGTTTTTGATACATCCTTCCTACCTCTATAGTCTTAGGTCTCTGTTGTACTCAGGAACTGAGTACATAAATCAAGAATAATGTGGGGGGGAGGGTGGAAATAGAATACCAAGAAGATAAGAGGGATCAAAGGGTGAAAAGAGGCTCCATTCTTGGCAAATACAAAAAATTGCATGGAAAAAGAAATGCACACGGTCCAAAACCCAACATATAGTCAAAAAAGTGTGAAAGCTGCCATAAAATTCTACTTTAATACAAATTAATACTTAAAACTGTCACAGGAAATAAGTAGAGATTTCATATACTGTGACATATTTCATATAATAAAAATTCCAGACAGCCCTGGGATATATTGAAAGACATTCAACATTAGTAATTAGGAATGGTATTCACATTAAAACATTAATGAGATGCTATTTTACAGGAATTCATTTGGCAAAAGATTTAAAATCTGGTAATAGTGTGGTAAGGATGTGGAACAGCTGAACTCTCACATACTGCTGGTGGAAGTGAAAACAGACAGAACTTTGTAGAGTAGTTTAGAGCTGTTCATTGAAATAGAACATAAAGGGGCCTCCCCAGTGGCACAAGGTGTTAAGTTCAGCACTATGAAACTGAAGCCACTATAGCATAAGTTCGATCCCTGGACAGGAAGCTGACTCACATAGTGCAGCAGATCTTCTGCCTCGCCTGCTGCTTCCCTCAGCAGTGTATTTCAGTCAGTTACTGTTCTGCTCCTCACTCTGTCTCTGGTGAATCTTCTCACTCCCTGCACCTATGGCTTGTACCCCAGTTCTTGTACTCGTAAGTACACTTTTAAGGAAAAAAAAATAGAATATAATACTATATGCTGTATGTGCCGAGCATTTTGTTAATATTCACTCCTCTAAACCTGATAGCAATCTCTTGAACCTATTATTTTTTATTTATTTTTTATTCCAGTTTTACAGCTAAGGAGGCTGAGGCACAATACAGTAGTCAAAGAATAGAATGTGTATATAAATGATAAAAGCAGTGTTGAGTTCAAGACTATGAGAAGGAAGGAAAATGGGGAGAGGCAAGTTTAGGTAGTGTACATAATGCCTTATTTTTTCTGCTAGAATGTCTTAAATATCTCTCATAATAAAACGTAAAAGACTAAGCCATGTCAAAGTTAAATATAATGCATAAATTTTACCTTTCTAGTTATTTTGGAAAAACAAATTCGCATACCACGTTCTCTGTCTGTAAAAGCTGCAAGTGTCCTGAAGAGTTTTCTCAACAAGGTATAAGTCATGTATAAAATTCTTTATTGATCTATCTCTGTATTAATGGAACTTCTGCATGGAGGGTCAGTACAATTATTTTCCAGAATAGCAGCTTATAACTTTCTCTGTTAGATCTAGAATTTGCCTCTTTACCAAAGAGTAATTTCAGAGCATTAGATTTTTCATATAAGTTTTCTTGCCAATATAACTCACCTTCAGCTATATATTGCATGTGGAGTTTGTAATGTAGGTGACTATATACCATGTATTCAATTAGGGAAAATTGCATCTTTGGAAGGATCCTCAATTGCACTTTCAGCTCTAGTTTCCAGTTGGACTAGTATATACAGGGTCTCTTTATTTCTTGAGCATTTGGAGCTGTAGCATTCCTACAAATTCTCATTTTTAAAATTAGATAAAGTTCAGAAGAAATGAAGTATTGTTGGCTTTTAAAAATTCTGAACACTTTCAATTGTTTGATGCAGTTGAAAGGTTAGAAGAGGTTTTACTATCTAAGACTATGATTCTGAACTGCTTTTACTTCGTAACACTTCTAACACCAACTCTCCAACTATCCAGGCACCAACTGAGTGTGCTACAGTTTAGTTCTGATATTAAACCCTGAGTTAGCACCAGACTCAAGTTTAAAGGCACAGTTCCACAAGGCCATTCTTAGTTCGGATACCAATTACAGTGTTTGGGTGCCCACACTTCTGTCTGACTTGACTACAAAATTAGAGGTTCCCCACATGCACCCAAGTTCAATAATTTGTCATAGCAGTTTGCTCAGGAAAACACTGTATTTGCTGTTACCAGTTTGTTATAAAAAGCACAAATAAACAACCAGGTGCAGAGGAACATACGGTAATGTCCAAAAGGGTCCTGACACAGGTACTTCTGAGCCTGTGGAGTTGGGGTACAGCACCCTCTCAGCACTTGGCTATGTTTGCAAATCCAGAAGCTCTCTTAGCTCATAGTTGAGAGTTTTTTATGCAGGCTCCGTTATACCGCATGATTGATTAAATCATTGGCCCAATTTCTAGCACCTCTGGAAATGAGCGTGATAGCCTCTAGTCACATGCTTGTTTCCCTGGGTAACCCATCCCGAACCTGAAGCTATCAGGAGGCTCACCAGGAGTCACTTGATAGCATAAACTCAGGTGTGTTTGAAAGGAACTTGTTATGAGTAAAAGACATTCCAGTCAGTAAATTACGAAGGATCTTAATGCTCAGTATCAGGCCAAAACCTATACATACTTCTTACTGTTTTATAGTGATCTTGGCAATTATAAATTTTACTTTAAAGACACAAAAACACTGATTCAGAAAGACAACTGCACCCCCATGTTTATAGCTGTTTTATTTACAATTGGAAAGACATGGAAACAGCCCAAATGCCCAAAAGTAGATGATTGGATTAAAAAGATGTGGTACATATACACAAAGAAATATTACTCAGCAACCAAAAAAAAGAAACACATGTCTTTTGCAGCAACATGGATGGAGCTGGAAAAGATGATGCTTAGTGAGATAAGCCAGAAAGAAAAGGAAAAATACCAGATGGTTTCACTTATAGCAGGAGTATAAAGGACCAGGGAAGAAAACAATAATGATGATGAACAACTATATACCAGACATTTTATGGGAGTAGTAGAATGGGGGGGGGGACCAAAAAACAATGATGGAGAGGAAAATGCACTGGACTGTGGTGATGGCACATGGTTGATTTGGTGATGAGAAGCCCACGGGGATTACAACTGAGATGGAAAAAGACACAAAATGATGTAAAAACAAACTATTATTTTAAAAAATAAATATATCATGGGGAAGAAAGTAGGTGATATGAATTTACCTTTTAAGGTAAATAATGAAGAATTTTACTAAAAAAAGAAATTGAAATTTAAGAGAGTATATGAGGAAAGATTTAAACAGGGAGCCTAAGCTTTGAGACAGTGAAAATGAAGACGAGAGGCATTAATATGAAAAAATAAGATACCTTTTATTGAAAAGAAAAATGGGGACATGTTCTTATTCACAGTAATGAGTAACCCAAGTCATTTTAATAGGTTGTAGACCCCTTCTCAGTCCAGCATATTCAGATAATGATTGTATCACTATTGTACGTATGTTGTTGCTGTACTAGGGCATAGGCTTTTAATTTGAGCTAACAACTGGCCTATTTTGAAGTTTGGTGGTTTGCCTATTTTGACTCTTATAGTAACTAAGGCAAAGAAATAGTGGATGCTACTCAAATAATTTTGCTATCTTTTTCCTTCCATTTTCTTTAGCAAGGAGTAATGATAATTTTCCACTTTAGTTGCATGATAGGTGGAGAGGAAGCCATGAGGAAGTTTTGTCACAAACTTTAAGATACTCATCTGAGTCTAGTATTAAGTTTTCTAGAAAGGAAAAGGCAGACCACTCTGATTTCAGACATAAAAGTATTGTATAATGGGCTTTAAACATAGGCTAAAAGAATGATTTTTCTAAAGCATGTTATTCACACAGTTCTTGAAACATTTCTTTACCTATAGGACCCAAAGGAACGGTTGGGTTGTCATCCTCAAACAGGATTTGCTGATATTCAGGGGCACCCATTTTTCCGAAATGTTGATTGGGATATGGTATGTAAATTTTTGACTGTTTCCTGTATTAATAAGGTTTCATTATTTTCTGTGGTCAAATTTTATCTTAAAAGAATGTTGAAAAATTATTATATCCAAATTAAAATAACTTGAAACCCATTTTCTAATGTGCTTTTTTTAAAAAAAAAAAAGAAGAAGTAGCTTTTAAGGCTGTGTTCTACAAGCCTCGATCATAAATTTAGTGGAACAGGTTATAATATTACTGAGACCTGTCTCACTGTTGAGACTTGTAAATTATTTCTATCATTGTGGCTACTGTGGATGATAGAGACTCACTTTAATATGATGGGAAACATCAAAAGGCAGATGAGAAATGTAGAGGTGGAGGTTTTCTAAGAATACAGGCTTGAGCTGTCATCCAATATCTCTTTCTAGATGGAGCAAAAGCAGGTGGTACCTCCCTTTAAACCAAATATCTCTGGGGAATTTGGTTTGGACAACTTTGATTCTCAGTTTACTAATGAACCTGTCCAGCTCACTCCAGATGATGAGTAAGTAATGCTATAGACAAATATTTTTAAAACTTCTTCAAGAGTCCCATTTTTAGTGACCAAGTAATGTTTTATTATTAGCTTATATCATAGTTCATCTGGCTACTCAGCTACAGGATATTTGTATCCATTATACTGTAATAAATCATAATAATAACTACCCGTTTCTACTTTACTATGCTTGCATTACTCTTTTTCTCACAACAGCCTTGTAAGTCCAGTTACTGTCATCTGTATCTGCAGATGAGCAAACTGAGCCTCATAGAGGTTAAGCAGTTACACAGCTGTCAGAGCCAGGATTCAGGCCCAGAGTGACTAAGCCTTGTGCCCTTTCCGCTGTGCTGCCAATTGTTTTCCATTTTGATGATGGCCTCTTTGTCTGAGTTTCTGAGTATTTCTTTAAGACAAACTCCTAGAAAAGGAATTAGGTCAAAGGGCATGAAAATTTCCTTGGTGGAAGTAACTTTTTTACAGCACTGCATATGTTTTAAAGGTGTAGCATCACCCCTTCAGATGTATGCTGCCACATCCACCACCCAGATCCCATAGTCCTCTACTGTAGTCCATTGGGCCCTTTAGTAACCTCAATTCTACAGTCAGATTTCTAAGGTTTATTACTGGTTTGGTTTTGTCTGACAAGGGGTAGGAAGTTTTTAAAAGTTCTTGATATAATCAGTTAATTTTTTAAAAGATCACATCAACATATCAAGTCCAGCTAGCAGTGATCAGACATACTTTTTGTATTTATGTTGCTTCTTGAAAGATACAATTTAGAATAATTTGGGTCCATTTTGATCATTTTCCTGTCATTACAGTTCATTCTTTCACTTCAAGGAGGTCTTTACCATTTTATTTCTGTCTTGTTTTTACCACAGTCTTCACAGTAGCTTTTCCAAACTGTACATTTCAGAAACCTTTAATCCTCCTTCTGCCTCCATCACATTTAATGGATTAGCCTTGATTGAACTTGACAGCAAGGATTGAGACATTCCTAGGGTGGACTTACTTCTTTTTCGGTGGTCACTGGACCACCTTGCATCTGAGAATTGGCCTTTAATTCTCCTCAACCTTTTTCTTCTTTGTTATTCTTTGGAAACTGTCTTGCTTTTATAGGGGATACCCTCCTATTTACCTAGACCTGTTCTCTTAATTTCCTCTAGGATTTCATTTTTCAGTTATCGCTCCAATTTCTTTTTCATCTGTTTCCCCTTTTTTGCAGACATGCTCAGATATTCTGATCTCCCCCCCACCAACCTTAGTACTTTGAACCACTACATTTTTGTTCTCTTTATTTTCTTCATCAAGCTTTTAAAAAAATAATAAATGCTCTTGATGTAAAAATAAACTATTATATTATTTATTTAAAAATAAATGCTCAGCAGTATTTTTGTCAAGCTCCTTCAGGCTAGTCAATATTGATAGTCTTTGGCTAATTACCAATATTTAAACCCCTTACAGTTTATCCTGCTCCTGTAGCTTTTGAAGGTTGAATTAACTTCCCAATTTCTAAATTTTAAGAAATTTTTTGATCAGTGCCCTTTTCCCCAATGACTTACAGCATTTGGCACTCATGGCCTGTGTTGGTTGGCTTTACCCATCTGGTTCTGCTTCATCTCTATATCTACTTGACATTTCTTCCCCCCATCCCCATTAGACTAGGATGTTCCATGATTCTGTTCGTGACAGCTTTCTCTGTGCTGTACAGAGTTGTTCTTGGAGGTTTTAGACAGCCCTGTAACATTTAAATAGCAACTACTTAAATGACGTTTGGCCGAATTGGCAAGCAGTTATTAAGAAAAAGGCTGTATGCTAAGCATTAGGTATTCAGAGGTGAACAAGATGTAAACCAGTCTTATACAATACTCACTAGCTAATCAAATCTCTGACAGTACCATTTATTCTCTGAGCCTATCTATTGCTCAGTCATTGTGTACCTCACAAGGTTGCTATGAAGAATACGTGAGCGGTAGTTTCTAGGGTGTCTAGTCCCTGCCTTGATTTCTTTCCAGTGCTGCATTTCCATCTGCTGATTTAGCTTCTCCCCTAGTGTATAGACAAACGCCTCAACTATATGAAGCCTAAAATTGAAGTAATGACCCTTTGTGATCTCTTTCTATTGTCTCAGTTTCTTGTTTTTATTTACCTTTTCCGGCTCATTGTACCACCTTTTATTCCTTCATTCAGGCTCAGAATGTGATTGTTAATTCCTTTTCATTTACAGACTTTTTAATACCTTCATCTGCCACGTCCTTGTCTATTTTTCTTTTATCACTTGCATAAAATCCTTCTTTTCTATTCCCATCGCCATAAGTCACATTGCCAGGTGAAATCTCTTTCAAATAACACCGAGAATATTTTACCACATTCTAATTGGTCTTGTCCTTTTCTGTACAGGCCATTCTGTATACCTCATCAAGTACCACCCCAATTCTTTAGAACCCTTTAGGAACTTCTACATTGCTAAGCAGGGGAAATCATGTAGGGCCACCAACTGTCTCCTCCAGCCCTGGTTTTCCATCCACGTCTCTCACTATATTCTGTGTAAAAGCCGAGTTCTGGTTCTGGTCAGTCTCACTCCTCCATCCCACACTCACCACTAGTGTGCTGGTGCCTTTGCTCATGCAGTTAACGGTCTCCTTCCTTCATTTTTACCTGTCTTTCAGTTAGCTCACAAACAGCAGATTTGTGATAGATCAAGGTGAAGCTTTCCCATGTAAACATCGCTGATTTTGAGCCATAATTTCCCTGCCAGTATCACCTGCCATTAGTAATCCTTTTATTTCTGTGCTCCAGCTCTAATAAATTACTTGTATTTCCCCAGACGTACCATAATCTATCAAAACTCCATTCAGTCTTTGTGGAATGAGTGCTTCCTATCTTAATTTCTCCAAGAAGTCCTTTTCTTTAGAATTGTGGTTAGAACAGGACTTAGCTTGTCCTGGTTGAAACTAGTAGGTGCTGCTTTCGTTTGTAGCTCTTATATAAGGTGCCTTCCCTCCTTGAAGAAAGGGGGTGTATATGTGTTCTTTGTCTTCTGCATACTATGGTATGTGCATTTAAACATTTAAGTATTTGATAGTACTATCGTATTTAAAACTAGCTCAGTGTAACAGACTCTTTACTTCGTTGCAGTCCAGGTCTTTATTCCAGGTCTTTAAGTATGCTGGCTCCTGTTGCCTTTTCTTTTTGGATAACCTCTGGGCCTTCTTCTCATCATCTTCTATCTGGCCAGTGAGGTGGTGACTAAATTGAATGCTAATTCGGACCTGGGTGTCACCTGTAATTAGGTTGTTACTCTGATCAAAACTCTAGTAGAGGTTAAGCAGAAATTGACAATCAGTGCCCTTTATAGTCATACTCTCCAGTTTAGACTACCTTTTGGCTCTAAACCTGCTGTGGGATTATTAGTTTTTGTTGATTTTCAGTACTCTTTATTCTTCTAGAAAATGCCTTGGAATTAACCTTTAAAAACTTGATTTCCTGCCCCCATAATTTATACAAATTAGTCTTTATTTTTGTTTTGTTTTTTTTATCTTATTTTGCCATTTAAGTTAAAAGTTGAAGAAATCTGGATTATGAAAATTAATTTATTTTTTTTCCAACAGTGACATTGTGAGGAAGATTGATCAGTCTGAATTTGAAGGTTTTGAGTATATCAATCCTCTTTTGATGTCTGCAGAAGAATGTGTCTGATCCTCATTTCTCAACTTTGCATTTTGCTGTGTTGCTCTTTAATGCATGGATAAAGTTTCCAGCCTGGATACAGTGAACCATTTTATATTTGCCATCGACCAAAAAGCACTCATTATTATCTTCTGTTGTTGACAAATGAGTCAATTATACATTTGCATTTAACTATGAAAAAAAATTGAAAACTAGTTTCCAGACAACTGTGTCAAAATTTAGTTACACTGGTAATCCAGCAGCCTACTGATGAGTAACGAAAGTGTCTCTTTCATTTAAAAGAAATTCTTACCACTGCTTAAAAAAAGGTATCTGATGCATTAAGTGGGATTACATCATAAGCCTCATGATTTTTTTATTCTTTGGTAAGTCATTTAAGTAAATTAAGTCATTTCATTGGCTTTTAATTTTGGAATAAAAGATTAATTCAAAGTACAACAACTTGTTTTATCAATTATAGTTTAAGTTCTTTGTGTTTAAAAACTCAGCAATAATTTTTTATTGTCTTGAATCGTTAAATTAATGGTTTTTAAGACAACACTTATTGGTACTAAAAGGTATTGTTTCCTTGGAATTAAGAAATGCAGATTCCCTTTGAGGAAAAGCACAGGCTTTTGTTTGTTTTTTAAATAGCTTTTAAATCATCAGCTGATTTTGAAAAACTGATATGATTTATGTGTATATTAAAGGGTTAGCTTCTGAGTTTGTCATTTTAGCCAGAACTTTAACTAGGGTAATGATAAATGTAGTCCAGAGAACCCAGGCTGTTGAATAGAACATTTCTCAGTAGATAGAAAGGAAAAAATAGAATTTTGAAATAGATACAGGAAAATGAAATGGTAATATTTATTTCCTTAGTGGAAACTTGACAGTCGCTTTTGTGATTTGACTTAAATAGTAAGGAAGCATTTACTTGTTTTCAAACTTATAAGCTCATTCCAGTTATCCAGTAGAGACAGAAGGTATATTTTTTTCCCTTAAAATTTAGTGTACAAGAAAATAATTTATCTTCCAAATATTGTCTTAATAAACTCACTTCTTTCCCAAAGCTATGCTATCCATGTTTTTGGACCCTGTTTGTGGGTTTTTCAGTGAAATCCAAGAAAAATAATAAACATGAATAAATGTTCAGGACACACACATGTACCCATAGACATCATAGTTCTAGCTCCTTATGTGAGTTTTTAAGTAAATAACATATGTAATGCAGAATGGAATACATTTCAGGGGCAGAGTTCTTCAGATTATTTTTTATTAATATTAATGTTTAGCAATTTATTATTTAAATATATCAGAGATAGCATCCTTTTTTAAATATTTTTTATAAGAAAGGATTTAACCATGATCATTTAAATTACAATTATCCAATCTTAGTAAAATTTAATTTTTGAAACTATTTAGTCTTAAATTTAAGATTTTAAAATTTGTAGGCATTTAATAAATTTTCTTTTTTAAAAGATGCTACATTTCATTAGAAATGTAATTTTTCCAAAGTTTCTGGCCATATACTCTTTCCTCATATATCTATATAAGTCTGAAAGTTATGAAAACCTCAGTGGAAAATGTTTGTATATATATATTCACATGTTGAAGAGATTACATGTTTCTCTTAATAACTGAAGTTTATTTTAAAACAAAAATCAGTATTCACTTCAAGTCATAAACTTATAGAAAACTCTGATATCTATGTCAGAAATATATTTATGATCTTGCTTTCAAGTGGTGCTGTTTCCCGGAGACATTAGGTGTCAAATTTTAGAATATGAAATAATCACAGAACAAGTTTGTTTAAAATGCACATTTACTGGGCTCACCCAGTTACAGGACCTTATTTTGAGAAACACTTTTTGGGAGTGATCTTATTTTGTCCTGCATTTTATTTTGCTTAAATATTTTGAGATGGGTAGACAGTGAGTTACTCTCATGTACAATTTTAACATAAATTTGAATGAATGACTTTAAGTTAGTTATGTTCACCAAAAATTCCATCAGAAAAGAAATCCATCAATTTGCTACCAGTAATGTTAGGAATGTTGAGCATTTTTCTATGATGAGGTTTTAGTCATTATTTCAAGGAGTCTGTTTTTAAATCTTTTTTTTTTTTTGAGGTAGTAAATATTTTATATAGAATTGGATTACAAATGTGTTTTTATGTTCTGTTTCTTGTGGTTTTTAAGTGCCATATCAATTCTTTTTATATTATGTAAAAATTCTTTCAAAATATTCACCAGGATATCTTAAGGCAGTTGACAGAATGGTTCGAATTTTGGTGTTCTAAGAAAAAACTTATTTTGCATAAGCATGTAGTCAGATCATTGTATGTAAATGCAGCCTAAATTGAATATCATATATTTTGCTTGTTTAGTGCTTGTACATTTAAATTTTGTTTTGCTTTGATTTTTGTCATGTAGAAATACCACCATGGTTATCATAATACAATGTTTTTGTGTACCTGTCTTTTTTGTTTTGTTTTTTACTTTAAAATCTTTAAATAAAATGTTTAATACTCATCCGGATTGGAACATTTGAATATGTAGCATTTCACATTTGTGTAAGAACAAAGGTTCATCAAAATTTGTTCAAGAAGAAAAATGAAGATTCTAGAGTTTGGAATTTTGCTGTACTTAAAGCAGCATCTGCTAGCTCTGATGCCATATTGTAGACACTTATTCATAAAATATTGTCAGTATATTTTTAAATTCACCCTTCTCTGCATCTCTTCTATTAGAAAACAAATTAGTTAAAATCAATTAAACACAGAACATTTTAATTAGTTTTTAAACTGAAGCAATTTGAAACACATTCAAAACAGATTATCCCTGCTATATGTTTTATAGTACTTCTTCTAAAGTTCCCAGGACAACTGATTTTTCAATGATAGCATATTGATACATAGAAACAAATGTGTCTGGTGTCCAACTCTTATGTACCTCTTTAACTGGGTTGCCTAGACAGGAGGATAAAATCTTAACATACCTTTGCCTGTTTCTTAATTGCTTGTCAAAGAAGGGCATATGCATTAAAACCACTAAAGATTGATCTCCTGTGCCTTCTTTATTTTAATTTTACTTGAATGGGGTTATAGTAGTTTTTGTTAAGATTTACTTTCTTTATGCATACAAGAATTGGTGTAGGCCAGAGATGCAAGGGGTGATTAGATTCACTAGAGACAAGAGTACATCCAGAGCAGCTGGATGTACTGAAATACACTGCTGAGGGGAGCAGCGGGTGAGACAGGAGAGGTGGGCTGGGCCCTGTGTGTCAGCTCCCTGGCCAGAGATCAAACTCATGCCACAGTGGCTGTCAATAGCTTAGTAGTGCTGAGTCTTACCCCTTGCACCATTAGGGAGGCCCCACAGACATTATTAATGAGGTGCTGCACAGTCCATCTCCTGTACCAAATCATAAATTTGGTGGTTTTCTTTGATTTAATACAATTCCCAAAACAGAACAAAGAAGAGTTTCAAGCTTTTTAGATTTCAAGTACCTAAGTAGTGTGTGATGTCATTCTAATGAGCTGTAAGGCTCAGTGGGCGGGATCCTTGGGTTACTTCTGAGAAATGGCAAAGTTCCCCTTTCAGTGGAACCCATCAAATTTTCCAAGGAGATGAAGATGTTTGATATCTAAAAGCGCAGGTTCATTAGGAGAGAAAAAGATTTTTGCATAGACTCAAGAGGGCAGAAAGTTGCCCCTGAAAGGATGAGTTTATTAACAGAGATGCAGGAGGGTAGTCTTGAATTGTCCCTAATACAGTATTCCTTTTGAGGATGGATTCATTCCTTTGTGAAATTGTTATGTTATTAAGTCAATTATTTCTAAGGTGTGACTGGCTTAATTTGTAAGGATCAGTGATTTCTAAATGGCTCTCACTCTCCATATCCCTGCCTCTTCTGTGCCTAGGGATATTTTATTTAGAGCAGTCTGCACCTAAGGATTTTCATTTCTATACTGGTTTATCAACTATGTTAAAACAGATCTACCCCCAGCTCCAGTTTCTGATCTTGTGATGCCTCCATCCCAAATTTTCTGTTCTAAACCTCCATCAGTTTGTATCTATAGTTTATTGTTGCAGAACATACTGGCATTTACTGTGGATGATATTAAGTAAAACTAATAAAAAGGTAAAATCTCTGCCTTAACAGCCAAGATAGAAATGGACATTCTGAGAAAATGGTAGTGGGCAGAATGAGGGGTTCCCTGAGACCCCTAAATGTGTCTAAATAGGTTCTGCCATTGCCACATAAAGACAAGCCATGCTCGAGACTCCCTGGTGACACAAAGAGTTGAGACTCAGCACTACCAGCTAATGGCAGCCACTGTAGCATGAGTTCCATCCCCGGCCAGGAAGGGGCCCACATGGTGCAGCAGACCTCTCCTTTCTCCCCCATTGCTCCTCTCAGCAATGTATTTCAGTCAGTCTGCCTGTTCTGCTCCCCACTCTGGTGAACCCTCTTAATACCCCACAACTCTGGTTACACCCCAGCTCTTGTATGTATAAATAAATAAGGTCTTTGAATTTTTTTTTTTTTTAAAGACAAAGCATACTCTAGTGTACAAGGCCTTTACTTTAAAAGGAACTTTATTACACTTAGTGTGCATAGAGGGAGAAGATCCCCTTGTGGATAAATGCCCAGCCAACAGGGTTAGCCTAAAGCAGGATCATTGAGGCCCCAAAGCCTGCCACAAGTCTAAGGCACCTTATGGCAGGGAATTAAAGGAAAGGCACAGACCGGGGGGGGGGGGGAAGACAAATCTGAAAAGTAAAAGAACAAAATTAAAGTACAAGTCATAATAAAGGCTGCCATTGTCAGCCTCCCCATGGGTCTCTTATCCGCATCTCTCTCTAGTGTCCTATGTCCTCCAAATCCTTGGTACAAATCCAAGGCTGAGAAGCAAGCACAGCTGCTTCTTCACATGTCTCTACATGCCTCCTCCAAGTCTTCTCTCCCCAGTCCTTTCTAGAATTTCCAGCCCACCTTGTCCCCCTCCACCCTTCATTGGGTGGGGCAGGGAACATGGAACCTCCCCATTTTCAGGTGCTCTAGTATAAAAGGTGTTCACAACTAGTTCACTGATAAAAAAGCCAAAGAAATGCACATAACATACCTTATGTGGTCACGATGTCATTTTCAGAGTTTTAGTTGGCATATTCATATATGTAATTGATCCATGCTGGACACTTTTTGGATTTGTGATCATTCCCTCTGAGCCTTCAGAATTTATATACATGCATTAAAATAAAATCTCAGATGTCTCAGATTATATACAAATGTAAAAATTATAGGTGATTGTTTTTAGGTTTTGTGCTCAGAAATACAAACTGGGTTTTACGTGGAATAGGAGAAAATTGTTAGATACTTTACTTAGATTTTGTCATTTCTACCTCAAATTCATGATTAAAATATCCCTGCTCAGAGGTTGAGCATGATCTTTGTGAGATGGCCAGTTCAGTTAACCTGTAGGTAGTAATTTGCATCTTACATTTTTCTTTTAGCATTATATTTTTTTACTCCAATTACCAATTATTAATGGTATTAATAATAATAATTTTTACTCCAATTATTAATGTTTTTATTGGGGAAACTGAAATTACAAGTATGTAAAAATAAAGTGATTGTTTAGTGTGGTCTTTTACAGGATGTCTAAGAGTTAAAACACAGGCCAGGTGGATTCACTAGACTAGAGAGAGCTTTAACTCAAGTTTTCATCAACAATTTAGCTGATCAGATGCAAAATTCTTTTTAGAGATTTATTTATGCATACAAGAACTGGGGTATAGGCCAGAGATGTTTGGGGTGAGAGGATTCACCCGAGATAGTGGGGAGCAAAACAGGCAGATGTACTGAAATACACTGCTGAGGGGAGTAGCCAGCGAGACAGCCAGAGGTCTGCCCAGCGATTTGGGTCAGCTCCTGGCCACGGATCAAACCATGATGCATTGACTGCAAATAGCTTGGCAGTGCTGCACTTTAGCCCATTGTGCCCCCAGGGAGAGCCCCTGGTCAGAAGCAAATTCTAACTGTATAAAAAAAAAGAGCCCATTGAAAAGCTCTAGCAAAATCCTTGAAGAAAATGTATGCTTTTTTTCCATAAAAGGAAAGTACTAGATCTTTAGAGGTAGTCCCACGTAACCAGATTTAAAACTTACATCATGTAAACTGTCTGCAGTGTGGGTGGCTGCACTTGGTGACTTTTTTTTTTTTTTACATTATTCATAATATTTTTAGGAATAAAATGTAAAAGTAGTTCTGTACAAAGACTTAATTCCAAGTCAAATTTTATGACCTTTTACAGAAATGGTTTTTTTAGAGAGTGTTTTTTCTAGGCACTCCAGATTTTTATTTGAAAGTGAGGATTTTAAAGTATCATGAAAG